TGAATATAAATTAGTTGAAATACGAGGTACTTCATGAAAGTAGATAATTAGATCAGTGCTGTTTACAAAGATTTTGCTGACTCTTTATATCCTAATTGAGATTAATTGGATGATAACCCAACGCTGATGGAAAAATACCTTGTTTTTACATGAATAGTTTGCTTTGATTTTAGGTGCCGCTGAACGATATGTTTGGATATGCCACTGAGCTGAGGTCTTGCACAGAGGTAAGTGCTCTCGGTGCTTTTTGACAGAATGTGTTTATTTCTGTAAACCCAGTGTGCCAGTTTGCGACGTCTCATACATCCCAATGCAGCAGTAAGAGGGATAAAAATCAAAACAAATGCAGAATAGGAAAACAACCTGAGAGGTTTTACTGTTGCTTCAACTGCTTTTTAATTAACGTGGCTGTCCTTGGCGGTGTCATTTCTGGCCGAAAAATTCTTTCATGCTTTGAAGGGGGAAGAGGTTTGAAGTCGTAAGTAATGCAAAGTGAGAGGGGTTGGTAAAGGTACCAGACTCACAGGCGGCAAAAGCGCAGGCGTGTTCCTTGAGGTACAAACGTCTGCGGGTGGAAGAGGTTTCTGAGGGCAGCGCTGGCGGTGTTGGGATGTCCTCGGTCAGGAACACGTGTGCCTGCAGCACAACGCGTTTGAGTCGCGTCAGGGGTTTTTGCGTGACGTCAGACTCGCTCTTCCGCACCTCGTGACCGCGCGAGTGCCGACGGGTTGTCGTGAATACTGCCATCGCCTTGGGGTTTTGAGCAGCGTTGTCGCCCCGATGAGCTGGGAACCACGAGGGACCTTACAGCCCTGGGGCGCTGGAACTGTTCAGATACCGTTTGTGTGGCTTTGTGCCTCGTACGTCGGTGCCTCAGCGCACGGTGTTCGTATACGTGACGATCGCGTGGTATTTCACAGCTTAGGATGTGGCCTGCTGCGAAATACACCTTTAGCAGCCCCGCTTTGACTCTTCTTTTTCCAACTCTGCAGGGAAAAGGGGAATATACGATGGAATACTGTAAATACCAGCCGTGCTCGCCCAGCACTCAGGAAGAAGTGATCAACAAATACCTCGAAGCCACCGGGCGACTGCCTGCGAAAAAGGGCAAAGCCAAGAGCTGACTTCTTTCCTCTGGAGAACGTTGGGACAGTTTTTCACCATCTTCTCTAAAGGCTCGGTTGCCCGAGGAGCAGCCCGGGCTGGCTGGGTAAGCGCCAGCTGCAGGGACTGGGACTTGTCATTTCACAGTAATATCCTTCCTTTGTGGCCTTCTCGGAAGCCACCAGGAGATTACGGCGGAATTGTTCGCATGTAAGTGCTGCTCTTTAATGAAATACATAAATGTTAGAACACTGATGACAATTTGTCTTGAAATTTGTCCTAATCTTTTTGTATTAAAATAATTTTATGTTTTTACTTGATAGATCATTATTTTGTAATCAGGCTAGTTACTGCTTCTCTGGTTTCGGAAGCTTGAAAATCTGAATTCAGGAGACTCAGCTGGCTGAGAACTGCTGGAGAGGTGCAGGGGATGAGGCGTCATCCAGCACGTTCTCACGTACGTGCCCAGGCACACATCCTTTAGCTCCTGCCCTTACGGCATCCGAACCAGAGAACAGACATGGGTTTTCCCTCCACATCCTCCAGAAGCAGTGCTGGGAGGCGCCGGACTCCTGACGGACCGGGCAGAGTCATCTGTCAGTGCAACCTGCTTGTGACCACGTCTGGTGGTACAAGGCGTTTGGAAAGAGTTGATAATAACGTAGGTAGGAGTTAACTCTCTCCGAAATGCAGAACAACCTGGGTTTATTTTCTGGGCTCGCTTTTGTCAGCTCCTTGTTAGAAAACCAAACGCAAGATTCCTTTTCCATCGAGAGGGTGTGCTGCTGACGGTGCTTAGCTTGGGGATCCGTTTAATAGATCTTGCTCACTCGTAGGAGAGAGATAAAACGAGGCTGTTACAGGGAGGTGGAAAAGAGACAATATTATCATTGATTTGATTTTTTAATTACAACCAGAAGACCCACGCTGAATTTTCTTTGCTGACCTACTCGGCTTAACAGCGTTTTTGCAGACTTCCAGTAAACAGAGAGTGAAGTTCCAGTTCAAACCCAGCTACATTCCTGGCACAGGATTGTGGCTGATGTTTACCAGACGCCCACAGACGGGCTGCTTCTCCTCAGCCTTCACAGAAAGAGTGAAAATTCTTTATTTTACCCTTGAAAAAAGCACGGTGTCAGAGGCTCATCGGGGACATGTACATGCTAACTGAACACAGGCCTAATGTTGTGTGCGAGTACGATGTTGCTGTGGCCAAATCCTTCTGGATTCCCTTACATCCGTCGCTTTGTTTTTGTGAAAAGACTCAGCTGGAACTCGTTTCAAGAAAAGCCCTGCGGGTTCTCTGCCATTTGGAGATTTTCTTAAACAAGCAAATACAGCGCATTTACCAAAATTCAAAGGTGGCTTATAAAAGCGGTATGAAAGCACGACAGAAATGGGGTGGTTGTTATTTTTTTTTTTATATTTCTGGCTCTATTTGATCGCGCTCGTGGTGTGACTTGGGCGAACTCTTCCTAGCAGCAAAGATGGGAGAGCGCTGTTCCTCTTGTCTGTGCCTCTTACAAATCGGCTACAAATGGGGTTTTTAGCGCGAACAATTCCCCGTGAACCCGCCTGAGCCGCGATTCTGATAACGGCTACGTGGATGTAACCAAGAGTTTTGCTTGGGTCAAAACTGTATGATTTTAGGTTCTGATCCACTGACTGAATTCTTGGCCCTAAAGAAGGCGGTGGAAATTTTTGCCTTTGAATTCCAACAGGTTTGCTGCTTATCCAGAAGTCATTGTGCGGTTTCTTAACTGACATATTGTTGCGTATTGGTGCCCAAAGCTTCACCAGTCTGGCAAGTTGGAAGTGCCAGACCCTCTGTTCCCGGTCTGGAGGGTAGCGGCAAAAACAAGGTGAAGTAACCAAACTTGTGGTTAAGTGCATTGCTGAAGTAGAGCCCCAAAGTGCAAGATCCACCCTATTTTCCCATTTTCATTCTACAGAAATATCTTCATCACCAATTTCTTTAAGAAACATTGTCATTATAAGCTCTGATTTCATGCTTTTGATGGTGAGAAATGTTTTACCAGCACAAAAGAGAACACCAAGAGTGTGCGAAATGCTGCTTCACCGAATTTATTGCGATGCCTGTTGTGTGCTCATAGAGAAAGCTGCAGTCAGTAAGAGTATTTCAGACTACTACACTTGTGTAAAATGCCTGAATTTGGGGGGTCAGCAGATCACCCAGCCTAAATACATGTTGGATACCTTCATCATCGTTACAGATCAGTGAGAGCTCAATATACCACGGGTCACAGAGAACATAACCCTCCCAGACAGCGGGGCCCACGGCCCGTTTTCCGAAGGAAGGTGTACGCGCTGATCCGGCGTTAATTTAACCTGGTGGAAATCTTGCTAATGGGGGGGAAAAAACAGGCGAACTCGAGGCAGTTTGGCACAATCTCGGTGTACAACAGCCGGACAGGGGTTCTGCTGTAAGCCCGCGTGGGGAATTTGGCGTGAAAGGACAAGGACGGTTCTTGTGACAGGACCTTGCTGTGGTTGGGACGGGTACGAGTCACGGCAGTCGTTGCTATGAGCTGCGTGACGGGGCGTTCTGGCAGTGGCTGTTCCTCCACGGAACCCAGATGTGGGAATTCATCTGTACAGAGCCGGCCCCTCCGCAGTTCTGTCTGGTTTCCTTCGAGGTAAAACAGCAAGAGCTGCAAACAAAGACAACCCCCTCCGCTGCCGCCGGGCAAGCGCTGCCTCGGAGCGCTCTGGAGTGGTGACCGATGCGGGGGACAACACAACATGTTCTCCTTAAATCGATATTTTCTGAGTCGCCTTCGCAAATACGAGAGAAGAAACGTTCTTTTTACGTCCCTTCACGCCGCAGGGGGACCGGGGCCGTGCAGACGCTGGTTACTGGCTTCTGCGGGGCCTGGCAGGGAGACGTTTCGCTGCCCATGCTTGTCCGCAGCCTTTTACAGGGCGGACACCGGGAGGAGACGGAAAGTGGGGGTCAGACAGCAGCAGCAGCACGAAAGAAAACCCAGCCTCGAACCCTGCGTAATGGTATTTGTTTTATTGGAGATGTAAGTTAAAAATCAGCGAGTATCTATCCCAAAAAATGAAAAAAAAAAAAAAAATTAAAAATCAGTAGACAAATATTTCGTAGTGACAGATTAATACTTTTCTCAAGATTTTTATCCAAATATATTAACTTTGTTTACAAACTATGTTACTCTACGTAACAGTTAGTGACATAAAATCAACTTATGTATGTGTATCTGTGTATATAGGTAGTAGCAAGGTTTTTAGGTAGAACTCTAGAACACGAGGCTTGCAGTTTGAGAAATTCTAGGTATTAATTTTGGAACAGAAGAGCCTAGTGAAAGCATTCAGATACGCTGATCGACTTGTATAGAAAATGATCACAGCCCCGGGGCTACAAACACAAGCTTTTTCTCATTCAATAGATACGCGCAAAGCCGTTTCAAAAATTTGCTCCCCTTTCAGGTAAAATCCCAGCAGCTGATCCAGATTCCACTCCAGATCCATCTTCGAGCCCCTGATTCTCCGAAGCGCAGAAGTATTTCACTTTCAGAGGGTGACCAGGAAGCCAAGTGAGGCGCATGTGGCATGAAATAATCTCCTGGAGAAGAGATTTTAAAATAGACGTATTTTATGATCTTGATACTGTTCCTCTGTTGATGAGAGGGGGGGATTACACGCGTACGCTTTTTTACCTGAGTTGGGATTTCATGGAGCAGGACAGTGTAGTCAAACTCAACGAAATCATCTTTCCTTATCTGGGCATGGGTCAAAGAGGAGAAAAAAAAAGAACACAAGTGGTATTGTTGAAGTTGAGAGCCTACCCTGATCTACCCGGCCGCATTTGGCTTGCTTGGGGAGCAAGACGAATAGGGCGTGAGGTGGCCGTGGTTGTGGGCTGGAGTGAGACGGCGTTTGGATGTGGAGAGACGGGGAATTGGGAGTGTTTAAAAGCTTTGAAGGCACTAGCTGCAGCCTGACTGCTCTCTGCCATCCAGCTAGGCTGACTTGAATGCTAATTAATTGTGTTTAGCCCTCAGATACATGTGAGATTATTACCTGCCTGTTAATCTCTCCTTTGGAAAAATCTCATTCTACACAACTTGGGAGTAAACGGAGCGCTGCCTACCGATCCCAGGTGACAGGGACACAGAGCTTTGGGAGCTCCCGTTTGATAACGCTGCAGGGGTGAGGTACGTTCCCCAGAGAGCGCGCGGCAGCTACCAGGCTGGTGCCGCCTTCGAGCTCGGTACTAGGAGCGACTTAGAGTGGGGCTGATGAACTGCAGGACCATATCTTCAAATCTCCCGGTTTGTCCTGCAGAAGCCAGCAGATCCACTCGTGCAAACAAGGAAAATCAAATTTGGTCCCAATGAGTTAAACTTTTCCACCAAAACCTGGACAAAATACTCGTCCAGAAGCGGAGATACTTGTAAGGAGAAGCCACTGGGATTTGGGGAGAATGACACCCATTACAGCGAGCAGCGTGATAGCTGTTTCATTCTCTGCTGCTTGCTAGACTCCGTTAGCTCCTGTGAGGCGGACGTGGAAGTTCCGCTTCGCTTACCCACTGCTTCACAGACTTGACTTGTGCCATGAAGTAACCCAAATTCTCTGTTGACTTTTCCCACATGATGTAACTGCTGCCAGCGACAGCCAGAGCCCACACTGGCTCCAGGGCAGGTTCAATGTTTCCATAGCTGTCTGCAAGGGAGAAAGAGAATAATATAAAAATGATTAATTCTGGCTGTTCAGCAGCAAAATGATAAACCACAGAGCACTTCTGCCTGGCGTCGCACTGTTCCTGGGAAGCGACTCTTCCCTCCGACGCGTTACAGTCGGGAGCGGCGTTCAACCCGCAGCCGTAGTACAAGCGGGAAAGCGTGACAGAACCGAAACGGCCGAGAGACGCTGTTCGCAGGGTCCCCACAAAGAGGTGAGGAGCCCAGCACCCACGACAACGGAGGTCCTTGCCTAGCCGGGAGGACAAGAGGGACCGGAGCGCTCTGCTTCCAGGATGGACAAATTCTGTAAGTCGTTCCCTGTGAATTTCCCCCCGCAGCTGGGGAAGGTGTGTGGGTGCCCAGGCTTTTTAAGGTAAAATGAAGTACGGGTGATTCTTTGGAGGAATGTACCTGGAATATTGTTTCCAATTATTGGTTTGGTTTGGCGCCTGAATTTTTGGTAAAGTCTGCTGTCCTCTCCTTGGATTTTCTTCTGGTCTTTGGTATGGGTGCACTTGATGCTGACCACAGGCGGAGACTTCTTCTTCCTCGGATACAACACCGTAGCCAGGCAGCTCCCCGCATCTTCCTGTAAAGGCAGAATTTAAAACTCTTCTCTTTAATCAAGATTTTATTTACCAGCAACATATTCTTTAAAAAGGCTCTTGGTATTAACATGTGAAATATCCACGTGGAGTACGAATGTGTCTTTGTGAGATGCTTTGTGTGAAGCTGTACAGGGGTCAAGAAAGTCTTTAGAAGGACATAATTTTTTTTTCCAGAAAAGTAAATACGTTAAAACCACAAGGCTGAAGTGATCTAACAGAAGGTTTTAATTAACATGTAGCAGAAATGCACTAGGTCATCTTGGAAATATGTTTGGGAGTTCTCAAGAAATAACATTAATTGATAAGAGGGACTTCCATTGTACGATACTTCAGCCTTGAAACAAAAATCATCTAATGCTTCATATTAAACTCTGAAAATAATTTGTATTCCATAAAATGTGTGTGTAAAGGCAAAGCGGATGCTTACAGTCAAATCGCTGACGACAGCTGTCCAGCAGCGGGCGTGGGGGGGTTATAATTAAAAAGAAGACACAACTCTTCCCCCCCTTTATTCTCATTTTGGCGTGTGGGCGCTACAGCTGGCTGCCAGGACCGTACTGCGGGGCTGACTTGGGACCACCACAAAAGTTTCCCTCGGGCGCTTGGTTGCCTGATGTGACTTGAAACCAGACAAATCCCCGAGCAGAGCAGGCAGCTGCAGTGCCCTGGCCCCCCGGCGGAGGCAGAGGACTGACTGCAGGAGATACTCGGGCGATCCGAAGAGCAAGCCATGCCCCTGGTTTGGACAGGCAGGGCGAAGCGTAAAGGTGAATCTTTCTGTTGTGGGGAAAAAAAACCCATTTACGCCAACGCTTAAATTTACCCTGTTGTGGGAATGGTGGCGTTCCCTGAACCCACGCTGCCGGGAGGAACGCGGAGGGCCGTCAACTCACCCCGCTTTTGTAGTCTTCAGTGGTGAACTGCAGGTAGTACTTGTGCCCGGAGTCTGGGATGCTCTGGAAGAGAGAAGGGTTCAGCCGTCAGCGTAGCTGCAGCGTGCCGAGGGGTGCCGTGAGCGCCGCGGAGGGAAAGCGAGGGCGCCCGTGGCTGCCTCGGGGCCTTGCAGCACCAGGAGATCGGTCAGATGAGATGGTCCCAGCAGCAAACACAAAAGGGCTTAACCACAACCATAACTAACCCTCACATTAAGGGATATTTTAAAGCTTTTCCTCACGGAGATATGCCAGAAGAAAAACACAGCTCGAAGTCCTTCGCAGGACGGAGTGATACTGAGGAACTTTAAAAATAATAAAGTTACAAACCAGTGTTCAGCTTCTGAGGAGGCGTTTTTTGCACAGAGTGCCCTTGAATACATAAATTACTCAAATCTCGGCGACTGGGGCAGCAGAACAGGAACGACGCAGGCTCATGGAATCCTGGGGTCGCTAACCTTGCTAGGCTTTTACTGCTGTGACTGGAAAGAGACTAATTTCAGATTCTGACAGGAATTCTGATTGATCTGCTCTCTTTTGCCCTGAAAATACCAGTCATTAAGTCGCCCAAACAACTATCCAAGATTCCCCATGTTAAGGAAAAATAAAAGAATACTCCTTGCTCACGGGAAGCCGCCAGTAGCACCTCTTGCGGCACAGAACATCAGAAAAGCCTTAGAAATGTTCACCTTTGAAATACGTCATTTTCTTGGATTTGGGTTTTTTTTTCGGTTTGTCTGGGTTTTTGTTTTCCCCGTTGCTGACAGAAATGGTTCCGTTAACCCATTGTATGTTTGGTGTGGGATATCACAGGCTGTCCTGGCCCCAAGCATGCTGAAACAGAAACCAGCTTTGAATATTGGCCATGAAAAATATGAATTACCGTGAAACAGGATCAGCGTCTCATTCGGCAGTGTAAGAGCAGAGCCTAACAAAAAGCCCTGGCATTATCTGCTCTTCCCTTCATCAGTCAGTCTCTCATTTTCTTACCAACTTTTATATTCACTTTTGAAATGTCTGTATTTGTTTTTGAGTGGGGAGTCCCAAGTAACAAATAGTGTGGAAAAACTTCATTCAGCTAATTCCTTGTAAAATGACAATACGTATCACCTGACAGGTACATTTCCAAGCCTTTCCTTGGATTAAATCAGAAAGGAATAAGGGAAGAAAATAAGTCTTTTTGTATGCTAAACTGTGATTTAGTAGACAAGCTTTCTGCTCTACGAGCCAGGTCACTTCTGTGTCTGAAAGTTTGTTCCTTTTGCATCTATTACCTGGTTTGATACGAGACATTCTCCCTTGTCATGAACCTCGTCTGTTCGCTGCTGGTGTAGGCGTTGTTGTTACGCTGGGGCACGGGTGAGGCAGGCAGCGTTTTGCTGGAGAATGCTCGCTGCCTCCTGGAGTGTACATTTAACTCAAATTATTCCAGCAACAGCCCTGATTTGATAGTTTGTTTGCTTTTTGAATACAATGCTCTTCAGATGAACGGGAGGGGGGGGAATTCTGGCTGTTTACGTAATTGTGAAGATTAGAACCCAAAGCAAACATGTGTGTTTTATTTATCTAAACTTGAGCCTTTGTGTTCCCACCCTACTTACTTCCAGCATAATGTTAGCAAAGCTTCATTCCCAGGGCAAAGCCACCAGCCCAGCACCTGCCTTCAGTGCGGACGTGGAGTCACACGCTGCAGATAAAAGGACAAATCGGTTGAGTCACTTGCTCTACTTTTATAGAATGAAGCTTTACGGTGAGGCAAGTGTGGAGCTGGGCCCAGCTCACGCTGCGAAGGGAATGGAGGAAACGGAGAGAGGGTGAGTTCAGACGCTCGTAATCTCTTTCTTCTCTTGCCTCCTCGTTCTCCCCGTCTCCTGCCCCCGTTTTCTGTGTCAGCTAAAACGTTGTCCTCAAAATGAGCGAGAATGTGACGTGAGGAGACACTCTTGGCATAGATTAAAATAGTAAAAACTAGCTTTCTGGAAAGCAGGTTGACAAAAGAATCGGTAACTCGTGGTGCTGAAAGAAAGATCTCATCTCTCACGATAATCACTGCAGTGAAGTCTAAAGTTCCAGCCATTGCAGAGCTGCCCGAGAGGGGCCGTCACTCGTGTTTCTAACGTTCTCCATTTGATCAAGTATGGGTGTTTTTGAAGCACAGCGACCCAGGCTTATTCCTTTTCTTGCCGTGAGTACCGCAGATGAGAGACCCTGAAACAGAGTCAGTTGGACCCCAGCGCTGCTGAAGCAGGAGCTTCGCTCTGATTGACCCGCTGAGAGCAGACGGGGTTTCCTGCTCAGCCTTTGCCTGGGGGGGCACCGTACAGCAGCCTGACTGCACTCCCAGGTACAGCATCAAGGTCTCCAAGTCTGTAACGGGAGCTCTTTTGTAGTTAAGTCAGATCTTTGCTGTCTGGCATATCCAGGCATTTAAAATACAGCCAGCTAGTCTTCCAGTATGATTTGTTCCTGTATTGGTGTCACCCGTTCTCTCTGCTGAAGAAAACCTCATTTTTATAGCTGTGATAACTTTGAGTACAGTAATCAGAGTCTGACACAATATCTCAGCAGTTTCATTGCCTTTGCTTGATATCGAGCATTAGTGAAGAAAACAAAGTCAGTGGGGACTTTTTGTAAACTAATTTTTCAGTCTCTGATTCCTCTCAATAGAAGGCGATAGAAAAGCTTCATGGCTAATGACTTGGTAAATACTCACTTTAAGAAAAATACGTAATTCTGGGCTTACATGGATTTTGAAGTAGATATTGTCCCTTCATTTGCAACAACTCCACCACAGCCGTACTACTCGCCTAGAAAGCTTTCAAATGGCGCCACACGGCCACCACACAGACCCAGTCTGGGTATGATACAAGAGGGCTTCTTTGATCGTACCAGGGAGAGGGAGAAGGTACTTTTGGCATCAAATAATTTCAACTTTTACAAAACTATTTCTAGGTTTGAAGGAAAACATCACTTTTATTTCCACGGTTATTTTCCACTCTCATCCCAAAATGCATCACTGTAAACCATCCCATAGTGCAAGTTAAATCAGAGCTCAGGAATATTTGACATCGCACGAAGATGGCTGGCTGAAAGCAGCCAAAGATAAAAGTGTCCAAAAGAGAAGAAAACAAGTGAGTAATTCATTTTTCCACTGAATAGCTGGGTCACAGGATTGTTTTATTTCCAGGCTCAAAATTAATGCAACTTTCATAACCGATTTTGAGTACTGTAGAGGCCAGAACAGCAATTTAAGAGCAGTTTCATTCCAGGTCCCAAAGGAGGTGGTTTCGAAATTGGTTGACACTGCTCTGCCTCCCCGCTGGCACGGAAAGGGGTGATCCCTCTGTCGCCCCTTGCCACAGGTTTCCATCTCTTCCTCCGTGTGTTTCCCCACCAGCGTTTCTTCCCTGCGACCAGTTTTTTGGCCGCTGGATCAGAAGGCTGGGCTGGGCACTGGGCACAGAGAAGCCGTGAGAGAGAGGTGTCTGCTGGGGGCCTAGCTCAGGTGGCCCGTGGCTTCTGGGGGTGCTGGAGTCGTCTGACCCACGAGCAGCCAGCTGAGCTCTCGGGCTGCCCCAGGCAGGAGGGAAAAGCCAGCGGAGATGGCTATTTTCTCACCCGCTCTGTATCTAGCTTCCCCGAGACAATTTACCTACCCTGCAACTGATTTTTACCTTTCCCACCCTGACGTGGGGTCCTGACTGTTGGAAATAAGCGGAAATCTTTTAATTGGCTTCTGCTATTAGGACCATAGCTCTGGTTTTACACTGTTTTGTGTCAAGGTGAGCTTGTGAAGAGAAATACCCAGCTGTAAAACTGTATTTTGTAGTCCAGTTTAAACAAACGGTGCAGTTTAGCCAAGGGATGACCTGGCTTGACCCGTACTCTTCACCTCCCGGTTCCCCTACCGACTGCTCAGTTACCATTTCCAGGGCAGCCTGGTATGGGAGGCTGCTACGTCAGTGCTTTGAAAGGTTCTCTCTTGGATTCTGGGATCTCCAGCTGGCACACGCTAACGCTGCTGCTCTTCTCAAAAATGTATTTTAAAGGGCAGCTGTCAGCAATTCCGTGGGGTGCACGCTGGTGTTTCCTAGAAGATACTCGCTTAAGTTAAGGAAAAAAAAAAATCAACCACGTGAATGAGAAGGGACAACAAAAAGAAAACTGCAGCCAATGGCAAGGCAGGGATTATTCTATGTTTGGCATATCCCTACTGTTTGTTGCTAGGAGAGAAAAGCACCGAAGTCTCATTCTACCTGTGCTTGAAAAATCCTTCGCATCTAGCAGAGGCACCGTACTGGTGACCATCTCCAGTCCTGTTTCTAATTACCAGGGTTTCACGGGCTAGTGGGCTAATAACATTCTTCTTAAAATACAGTGCTCATGATTAAATTCCATTAGAAAATTATTGTATTCTTACTAGCTCCAGTAACATACTAACCAACAGGCAACTGGCCTTCTTAAAAAAAAAATGAAAGAACAGAAACCAACTAATCAAGCAAAAACCCCCCAAACCCCAACAGCTCTGTCTCTTGCGTTCATGTAATATAGCACATTCCTTTCAGGAAATTCTTCTCATTTTTATACGGTGGAGGACAGGAAAGAAGGAAGTGACCGTGTCTAGTATATTTCTCATCTTGTTTTCACAGAGCGTGCAAAGAAAAAGGGGAACTAAACTGCAGAAGGTGGTTACTGCAAGCTCCAACAGCATCAAGTACTGTGAGGAAATAATGAGGCATTTCACTTCTCTATAATGAACCGATTTTTTTCTTTCCTGTATTAAAAGGCAGGTGGCTGATAGTCGGCGGAAAAAAACTCCCTTTCCCTCCCCACAACAAAACCCACCTCAGAAATACTCAGTTGCACTGTGGTTGGAAAGAGGATCTGCACCAACCCCTTACTTCTGATGCGCCTCTTTACTAGACACCCGCGTGCTTCCAGGAGCACAGGGGCCGTGCTTAAAAGAGACACGAGCATTTGTATATGTAAATATATGCATATGCACAGTGCCCAGCAAATCCAGC